ACAAGCACCCGGCCAAGCTCTTGCGCGTGGGTGAGATGCTCGACTGATTCACGGCCTCCTGGAGGGTAGCTATGGCCTCGGGAAGCTTGATGAAACCCGTGGCTCACAAGTTTGAAGTTCAAAGATGAAACTTCAATCCTCTCCTCGGCATGTCAAAATTTTTGAATTCGTTTCTAGGAGCATGGCTCCGTAAAGCACAGCAGTAGCCGTAGCCTTCACCACTTGTGTCCTTTTTCCGCTGCCTGCAGCTCTTTGAGCTGATGTCAGCGCGTCTTTGCCTGGCTTGGCTCCAGCCGTTTGCGCCCGAACTGCTTCACGGCCGCCGGGCAACCGGAAAGGCCGCGTCCGTCCGTCACAAACATGGCTGACTGTGGAACAGCGTCAAAGCCGGAGGACTGTGTCAATCAAAGCCTAGCAGAAACATGCCTGAGTAGGCTCTGTACAGTCCCGTCGCTGCTGCTGCTGCTGCTGCTGCTGCTGCTGCTGCTGCTGCTGCTGCTGCTGCGTGTGATGGGTGAACCTGCCCACAAGAATCGCAGCATGCTGGCTGCAAAACACAAGGCAGACTTCACGAAAGCCAGCACTCCTCCCGCAGTCATACTCCTGAATTCCCTTTCCTAAGAACTTCACGCCAGTAACGAGATCATGAAATATTCTTCCCAATATGTGCTGGATCCGTATTAGGAACATCTGTTCTTGGAGCTGGGGAACTTGTTTCGTAAGGGGTGGGGACTACAGCACTCCCCTATTGCAAGAACATGCCTGTATACTTTTCCCTACAAGAAGCCCTAATGAAGACACAAGTACCAGGAACTCAAACTGCACTGCACGCCTCCACGCCCCAGTGGTCCAAAAAGCCTGAGTTTCAGGCATGGAGGGCTGCGGATTGAATCTCTTTGTTGCTCGCCTACATGTAGCACAGCACGTGGCCCATCCAGCCTGCTTCACGGTGGCCGAGTGCTTTCGAGCCAGCGCTCTGCATGTCCATGCGAATTGGACCAGTTTCACGGTGGCGAAGAAAGCCGCTCAAACCCTTTTTTCTTAACCCAGGGCAGCCAGCACGCAGATCTGTGATCAGACCATTGGCCCTCGCTGACGTCGGTTGCAGTGATTCCAGACCTGCAGGTCTCTTTGGGATGGGGATTTCCAAGCATCGCGCTCCCGTTTTGGGAGTTTTTTTGTGGTAGGGATTCCACTATACCACATGTCCTGTGAGGGTGTTATGGGGGACCCAATCCCACTAAATGAGCCGTGAACCCCATAGTAGTAAACGGGGCCTGTAGGGACTATTGTGATCTTGTTTTGCAAGCCTCTGCTGCACTGATCTTATGCGTCCACCTAGACCTCGCTCTGCAACATGATGAGCTGATCCCCTGCTTTAAAGGTTAAGGGTCAACCCTAAACCCTCAACTCTTAAACCCGAAGCCCTTAAACCCTTTTGCAACGAGCAAGCCCTACACCCTGAGGCATTAAAAACTAAACTTTAGGGTTTAGGATTCAGGGTTTGTACGCTCCTGACAACATGATCACGTAAACCCAGTCCCTTTAGAATCTCTTCCATTATGGTAGTAAAACCCCTCTACCCATTGGACATAACATATCCCCTCTATTTGCTAATCATAAAATGTTGGGAATATTGATTTCTAGGGGGGGTTTAATTGCATTCGCGTTGTCAGTGGTGCTCTGCTAGCCTGCCTGGCAATTGCATCAGTTTTACAGAACTCTTTTCTCAGAGCAATTGTCTGCTTTGCTAGTGGTGCTGGGGCCTCCGGCCCCTGCGGTCAACTGTCCCACATCCTCGCCGGATGCGGAAGTGCTAAAGATGCTGGTTTACAGCCCACACGACCCACTTGTATACGCCACCTCACTTGCATTTATGGCGCAAGGACACACTCGCCTGGCCTGAAAATAAGACTGAAAAGCTAACCTCGCCATTTGTCACTACTGCTCTCTGCCTTTGCTTCTACTTCCCATGCGTTGCATGAAGTATGAGCGCCAGTATCCCTGATAGTCTTCATACGGATCCGGAGATGATGATTTCGCCTCTCTTCGCTCGTACGACCATGCAAGCTGCAGTCACCAGTTGCAACATACCCAGAGGAAAAGGAAGTCTGTCCGTAGTTCCAAAACGGTACCCCAAGCCGACCCTGAAAGCTGTCCTTGCTATCATTTTTGTTGCAGTAGCTCATGTGGTCTTCTGTCCAGACTAGTGCACCCGGCTAAATGAGCCAAGTGTACAACAAGCTGTGCTGGCGACCTCTTGGGGCGTGTGCCAAAAATCGGGCTTCAATTACCTGCCTTAAGTAATAGTCTTTCTAATGAAAAAAGAAAGGCAGCTTTAGACATGTTGGGCATCCCAATTTTGGCCCGCACCCTGTTCGAAAGAGATTTGGGAGGGCTTCCAGGAGCCCACCTCTTCAAAAATGCTCATGCCTTCAGAGAGAACCGGGTCTCGCCTGGCATGATGGGTTAGAGACACAGATTACAGCTTAGTGTAGCTAGGCTTTAAGTTAGAACAAGAACTAATACTTGGGCACTGCCCCCCACCCAGGTACAGTCTATAATGGGAATTATATAACGGGCTTACATATGATTATATTACACGTATTATCGAACTGCTACTAAATGGGGCAATACCCAAACTATCACGACTATAGCAAGCATGACTTCAAACTGCAACTGATGGTGGAAGTTGTGTCAGAAGCACTCTGGAGCAACATGCGTGATGTTAGCCGCTAGCCACAACACAGAAAGCTCTCCCCAGCCTTTCTCAAAGAAGCCCACGATTTGATTTGCAGCAGCGACACCGGCCTTTGATGTGGTTGAGGGTTTAGGGTTTAGGGGCCCCAAAATTGAAGCAGTGCTCAACGAATTCCGTGAGAATCGAACAAAACCATCAACTCAAGGAGTTGTGAAACTTGACTTGCAATCTCGGCGCCGCTTGCATCTTTCCCAAAATTGGGGCAACCTTTTGGGATCCCCCTATTTACGGAAACTGCCATATAGGATCACCGCTGCTCCTGTCAAGCTTAGCTGAGCAGAATACAAAACGCCCAGCCCGAACATTCGCACAGACTTTCTCAAGGGGCTGCTATGAACAGAAGGCCCCTTCAACAACCTCAGTATGCTATCCCCAATGTAGACCGCAACATATACCAATCCTCACCATAGGAACCCCAAGGACGGACCCCAGCTTTTTCCGAAATCCAGTTGGCTCTCTCTCTCTCTCTTTTTCTCTTTCTTCTTCCTCTGGCTTGAGCTCAACCCTCCCGTGAAAATCCCCAAGCGCTGCAAATGTCCGGTCATAGTCGGGGACTCAGGAGGGCACACATACCGAATGTACCCCCGGTGATTGCAACTCTCTGTCTCCCTCCTCTTCTTCTTTTTCTTCGGGCGCTAGGCGGGCCTACACCCACCCCAGAGCACAGCTCTGCGAGTCGCCATGGTCGGGACCCCAGGGGCTCGAAGAAAACTCAAGCCTGGACTCCCCCCCCGCCGGCACACAGAAAACCTAAACTCCCACGTGGATAGCCTACCACTGCCAGTGTGATGGGTCCCAATTTGAAATTTCCACCTAGCCTACTCCACAAGGCTGTGACACTGTACCCGCCACGTGCTCTTATGGCACCTGAGGCCCGATCCATGAACGCGCGAGTTCCCCTCAAATATGGTAACAGACGACACTACCCTCGGCGACCCCTAGGTACACAGCTAACCTCAGGGTTTGCTCATTGCGTTGTGGATCCTGCTTTAAGGCTAGCGCACGGTTCACGTCTACCCCCAATCACGTGAGAACTGCAGCAAACATCAACGCGACAATGGGTTCAATCAATAAGGCGACTGGTAGCAGCACAGGTAAATTGTTCAAGTCCCATGCCATGCTCTCATGGCATTGCTTGCAGCCCTCATTGTGCTCCCTTGCCAACGGTCGGTCATATCACTGTACATTCCCACAACAGACTTTCAGAGCAGCGCAAGCCATCACACACTGTGCAGAGCTGCTCGAAATGCTGTAAAGACAAGGGTCTTCCTTCACTTGCTCTGCGCTGATACACTGACACACAAGCCCATCTTCTCCATGCAGTCCTTGAATGAGTGCTGACAGCTCTTGAAGCAGCTCTACTGTCCTACCTTCAACCCATCAGCTCCACTGAAAGGATTGCGCTCCTGGTAGAAAGACGCCAAAGCGTGTGGGACATGAGTGCATCAGCATTCCTCGTGACAGAGGGAAAAGCAGAGTGCGTCTACAGGATACCGGACCTGCCATGAATCCGTCCAATCGTCCGCAGACTATCAGCGGGCCAGGCAAAATACCCACACCAGTCAAACCCAGACCCCTATGCAGATCAACAGAAGCCACACTCCCCACCACGAAAGGCTTCCCTCGCGCTCCTGAGAGATTGCGCCCTGCGTTCGCTGTGTGTCGGGGAACATACTAATTAATTAGTCCTTCAGATGAACTCGTCGCACGATCTCACATCAGCTGCCTTCGCTGTACTCCTCCTCTTCGTCCTCCGTAGGCTCCACTTGGTGTCCTCCTCCACGCTCCTCATCCAGTGGTTCCTGCGCCGCGAGCGCATCGTTGACCTCCCGGATGCTGGCAGGGAGGCCGAATTCTCTGATGTAGCCGATGCGGTCATCCCAGTACAACGGAATGAGCCACGATTCCACGACTCCATGTCGTCTAGAGTGACCTTTGCCCTCCTCAATGATCTTCTTCAAGCTCTCCTCGATCCATGCAAAACTCCAGCAAGGAGCTGCAGTATGCATTGGCAGTGAGCAAATTCTTCAACGAGTGCAATGGTAGTCCGTCTTCATGTCCAAGACAAAAGGGACGGAAGTTGTGATGCCACTCAGGCAAGACTGCATAAAATGCCAGGTTCTGGTAGAACCTGTGCAAGATCTCAGGTCGACCGTTCCCTCTGGAAGCGTGGCACTATCCTCAATGGCCACTTTGGCCCACTTGCCATCTTGCTGAACTCGCAGAAGCGGCCTGTCGCTCATCGCAAGATCTTGGTCGTGCTCAAACTCCAGAACATGCCGCACAAGGAAGTCCGCTGCGCTCTCAACGTCAACCTCATCTCACGAAGAATGGCAGCCACTTTCAAAACAGCTGCGCGGATGGCTGCTTGAGCGTCTTCAGCCACCTCTTGGCGCTGAGGCATGTTGACTGCTGCTCGCTGTGCTTCCGCGCTAGGGCCCTTAGATTCTTGAGCCAAAATGGCTACGGCTCTCTCTCGCTCTCTCTTGCTCCCTTTTATACTATAATCCTTATTCTGGGGATCCCCAAAAGGGTACCCCTGATTATGGGCAACTCCCATATCTCTCTCTTGCCGAGCTGCATTGTCATTGGCCTCTGCAGTCTGAGCCCCCATCTTCTTCTTGGTGAAGATCAACCGCTTGCCGTACTTGTCCCCCACTGCAGCCTGCATGTGTTAAACGGGAATATACGGATATAATATGGGGGTTATATAGGGATAATAGTAAAATTGAAACTACTGTTAAAGGGGAATATAGGGGTATAATATGGGTTTATATATAGGGATAATGGAAATTAAAATGGAAACTAGTATGCGTTTGCATTCCCTCTGGTGGATAGGCTTGCACAGGCATGGGGGTTTGCAGACTCTCATGTACTTGGCAAGGCCTTGAAAGGCTCAATGTCCTTGGGCGCCACATCGCAAAGGTAGCAGAAGTCGGGCCGTGTCTTCAGCACCTCGATCATGTCAGCCTGCCATACAGTATGCAGATATTGTACTACACCCTCTTATATAACTATAATATAATACTATCACATGCTATATTATACTATAATGTACTATTCTACACTAATGCCTCACCTCATGGCAAAGTGCCAGATGCATCCTCTTACGAAAGCCCAACATGACCGTGCATTTACCCCTCTGATGACCCCCTACCTGAAGCAAACCCAACCCGTCTGGCACTATGCTATGAGGCGAGGCATCAGAATAACATAGCATATCAAAAGCAAACCATTTCTTAATATATTCGTCCCATACTTTCCGACCTCGTGCACTACTTCAGTGCGTGCTGTGTTGATCAGGGAGCCACCTTTGGGCATCTTCATGAGCAGCTCCTGTGATGAGGCAAAAACCATGTAAAGCTTGCAACTCTAACTTGTCTCCGTAGTTCTACCACCAATACCCGACTATTCCAAATCCCACCACAACAACTACGTCATAGTAGTAGTAGTAGTAGTAGTAATAATAGTAGTCGTCGTAGTAATCATAATAATAATAGCACTAATGGTTGTAGTGCTACTGCTACTGACCTTTACTGCCACTGCTGCTGATGCTACTGCTTCTGCCGCTGTCTTGGTTATGCAGGCTCCTTATTGATGGACGCCTTGGTCTCATCTGTCAGGGGCACATGGAGCGACACGTACTGGTGCTCGAAGAGCCCTGCTACGGTGGACACGGGCTCGGCGCCCATCTCCTGGAACTGGTGTGCTCGGAGGTGAGTCTACGTAAGCGTCAGATGCATTTTAATTTTCAAGTCTTGTAGCAACTACAGCAACTAGAGGTGGCACGAAATGTCACGAAGACTCTCAAGAAGAACTGTAAGTTCAAAGGGCATCTCCTTGATCTTGTCGGCAGGGATGTAGGGATCATATGCGAAGCTCTTCATGCCGAAGCCCTGTGCCAGCTTATGCACAGCACGTGCCACCGCTCCAAAACCATAGAAGGCAATCTCGCGATTCACAAGCTCAAAGCCGCTGGTGCCATCAAAATTGTTGCGTGCGCTGACAAGCATCATGCCAAACACGAGCTCCGCTACTGCGTTGGCATTCTGACCCGGGGTGTTCATGGCGGTGACGCTCTTGGCTTCGCAAGCCTTCAGGTCAATGTTGTCGTAGCCCGCACCGGCACGAACAACGATCTTGAGCTTGTCAGCCTTGTCCAGAACGGCCTGGTCCACAATGTCACTGCGGATAATCATAGCATCTACGCCTGCCACCGCTGCAAGGAGGTCATCCTTGCCCTTGTAGTTCTCCAATTTCTTGAGAGTGTAGTTCGCCTCCTGAGCTACTGTCTAAACTCCTAGTATCCCCCTTAATAACCTCTATAGTAGTCCCCTATATTACCCCTTATATCATCCCCCTTTAAGGAGTTTAGACTATAGCTCTCCTTGAGAACACTCTCAATCTTTCCCACCGCGGCGGCAGCGAAAGCCTTCTCTGTGGCCAGAAGAACGGTCCGCGCCTTCCCTGCTTCACCAGCCATGTCTTGCAAGTTGGCCAAACGCAGGCTTGAGTCAAAATTGCTACTGCCACAGTTGTTACCATGACAGATGTTCTTCTTGATGTTGCTATCGGCTATCGGCACTGCCCCTATTTCTCCACATATCTTGTCTAGGTGCTGTTACCCGGCAATATTCAAGGCCCCGGTCGCCATCCTGAAAATCAAAGTTGCCCCTGCCTCCCTTGACTCTTTGATCTGCGCGGTTAAGCTGTCGCTTGCGTGGTTTGCCTGATCAGACAGTGGAAGCATCAGAAGCTGCAAGAGGCCTAAGCACTTCTTATCCCGGGGCATGCCCCCTGTCAAATACTCCCAACCCCCCTTAGTTGAAGTATCTCGCCATATTATGGTGAGATAATTCAACTCACGGGTTGGAAGGTTTCATTCTGGCAGGGTAAACTATTTCAAGCAGGCTGCGTTGACTGGACATCAGCTGATAGCCTCAGTCGACCCTCTCCCACGTCTGCAGCAAACGCCGCCTAGGTTCCAGGAGCTTTTCTAGTATGTTGGACGGCCCATGGATTGTTAAGGCCATCTAAAAAAACCGTGCATGCTAAATAACCTGAATAGTTCCTTGCGTGCCATGCTATGTAATAAGGGAGCAGAAGGGAAGACTATGAAACACCATTGCTGCACAACCAATCCGGCTTCTGCCTTGTACATTGGGGAAAATTTTGTTGAACAAGACCGGTTTGCATATCGGACGGCAGCAAATACTGCCAGGGCTTGTGGCAGCCGATTGGAGCAGGATGAAAAATCGTTTCCACCTGAGCCACTGCACACAGAAGTGTGAGAGCCTGCGAAACAAGGGAGTCCCGCGGTGATTATGCTGAACTATAGTTTTGCAAGGATGATAACACCTGTTTATCCTAGCATGCACACTACCCTAACCAGGGCTCAAAACTGTTAAGCCATGATTTCGCGTTCGCATGTCGTGATTTATCAAAGCAAACGAGAACGGCAAGGATACATATGCAAACACGATAAAAAGCACAAAGTTCAACACGAGAACGCTGCAAAACATCAACGAGACCAACATGCTCGCAAAAAAGCAAGAAACCCGCAGAAGGGAAACACGTTTCTGACCGTTTGTTCATTTTGTTCTCCCTTTTTTGTGTATTGCGCCGCCTCGGCGTAAGCGAGACGCGCTGAATGGTTGCACGAGTCCTTGCATGGTCTGCCGGAAACCTCGAAGGCTGTAAATATCCCTGTATAACCCCTATCTAATCCCCACATCCCCTTTAAAGGTACCCAGGTACCAACCCTATATATATATATATACATACATACATACATACATACACATCCCTACATAACCTCCGCATCCCCCTTTAAAGGTAACCCCCCTGCCGGCAAGGCTCGGCAAACTCTCGCGCCGCCTGTGCGGGAGGCATGCTGTTGTTTGATGAGGGTTGGCACAGATAAGGGCTATAGGGGTTAGATAAGGGTTAGATAGGGGTGGGATAGGGGTTAGATAACGCATGTTGAGGGGTTCTATAGGGACATATAGGGTTTCGGGTTTGGGGCCCCAGCGGATCAGTAGAAGGAAGCAGCCTCTTTCCTCCTTATCCTCGCTTTTCTCATCTTATCAACATTTCGTTTTACCTCTGCTGCGGAAGCTCAGAAAATATTTCAAACACAAGCGTAAGTTTTTGGCATTTCGGGAAAGAGGAATGGGTTCTGAGGGACTAGTCGTGGGAATCATACTACTGTAGGGGATAATATTGGGATCCCCTGCTCCCTTCCCTAAACCCTACACCCATTGATCTGCTAAACCCTAAGCCCGACATGATACAGTGGTTTGCATTTTCTTCTCGATTTCCTGCTACCTGCGGATACTAATAACCCTGAACAACCCTGACCACCTTAAACGCTGGATTTTCCCTAGTTTAATATAGTCAGGTGGTGCAGAATTTCTGGGTTGCTGTTAAGGAACTTGAATTAAGCTACTTTAGCAAGGAAGCCCCATTATTTATTATATGCCACCGCTGTACCCAGGCCTCCAAGTTTGGAAGGTTGGCTTTGAGGTCCACCGCGGCTCGCGCGAAGCAAATGTCTTCCTTGGACTGCTGTTGTTTAGCATTCCTCCCCTGTTTTTGGTAACAATGGGGATAGGTAGGGTTACTAATGGGCTATAGGGGTTACTAACCTACTTACTAAGTCCCCCTGGCCCTCCAAGTCCTCCTCTTTTTTTGGCGCGAGGAGGACTAGAGTTTAGGGTTCAGGCTTGTCTTAGTAGCAGCTGTAATTCAACGAAAATATCAGCTAGTATGGCAGAAGCGGTGGCGTTCGCGGTGGCAAAAGAAAAAGAGCCAAAGCAGACGAATAAGAGTAATCATAAGATAGAGTAGTACTGGCAGCCATCATGTTGAGCCTATGCAGCTCAAAACAGCGCCAGGAAAAACTGCCTCGACATCCGAAGATGTAGGTTGACCCACGTGACGATATGATGAAGCCCAGAAGGTTGAGGCTTTTGTCGCTGCTATGAAGGTTATGGAGGAAAGAGAGAACATGCATCTGGATTTTATTTCTATTTTGGTACCCCAGTGCAAAACAGACCCTAAATAGCCCCAAACCCTACCCAAAACCTGGACCCTAAACTTTAAGTCTTTAAGGCCCTCAAATCAAAGACCTCCTTGAAGGAATGGCCAGGTTGCGTTGCGTGACAGCCATGGGCTTGTTACCTCACCACAGCTGTTGGCCTGCCAGCTCTCAACTTACTGGTGGTTGGGGTTGAGGGTTAGTAGGGAAGAAGGGAGTATATATCTACATTTTTTTCTTTTTATGGGACCTTTTCTCATCGGCTTGAATGCCGCAGGAGATGTCCTCGCAGTATATAGTGTTTGGGGTTTAGGGTTAGTAGGGAATGACGGGATATACTTGGGTAATCTAGGGATAATGGAAGGAAAAGAAAGTGGAAATTGATACATTATTATATAGGGTATATATTGGGGTTAGTGGGGAATAAGGGAATATATCTAACATATAAATTTATATCGGGATTACTTACCTTATTCCCTACTAACCACCAGTAAGTTTACTAATCTGCCGCAGAGAGAAGCGCGCAGAAAAATCGGGAGTGTCTTTATCATTACCCTTTAACCCCCCTCCTAATGATACCCCCCCCACTCCGTAATATTGAATGCTCCCTGAAATCTATCATGTCGCTATTTGTTGATTGGGCGGGTGTGGGGTCTTATGATTGTAGGGGATTCTTCTACTTTTATAAGGACCCCAGCAATCCTAAACCTTCAGCCCTCAACCATAACCCCTATACCCTAAACCCTAATCCCTCAACCCAAATCCCTAAACCCTTGGGGATAGCATCCCCATTAGGCTATCCCGAGTTTCAGAATAACCGAAATCAGTGACGCCGAGCCTTCATGTAGTCCAAAGCGCTGCGCATGAACTTGCAGCTCCTACCGAAGTGCAAGAGCTGCATGAAGGGGGTCTCTTATGATACTGGATCCCGCTCGCTTCAACGAAGACGCACTGGACCCTAAACCACAAACCCTGAACCCTAAATCCTGAACACTAAACCCTAAACCCTAAACTAAGCCCTAAACCCTAAACCCTAAACCCCTAAACCCCAAACCCTAAAGGTTTCAGGGTCACAGGCATCTCCCAAGTAGACGGCAGGATCCCGAAAGTTTTGGGTTATGCATACATGGACCCTGTCTCTGTGGCCCATGGTTATTCCAGATAGGGTTTAGGGTTTAGGATTCAGGGCTTAGGGTTTAAGATTTAAAGTGTTTTTAAGGTTTAGCTTAGTCATCCTTAAGTAGATAGTAGACAGGATATGGCTTTGGGTATATTATAAATCCCCATATATCCCATATTCTATCTACGTAAGGGGGACTATACATGAACACATGTCAACATCAGCTTGGCTGCATCTTTCAGGGGCTTCCCAGCCCTAAACCCTAAACCCCAAAGCCTAAACCCCAAACCCCAAACCCTAAACCCCAAACCCCAACCCCAAACCCTAAACCCTAAACCGCGACCTGACTGTAAGGCCGCCGTTGCCCACGCAAGCAGCATCCTAAGGGTCAGGCTCCTTTACTTAACTACGTGGCACTTCGGACTTTCACTAAGGGTTAGGGTTTAGGGTTTAGGGTTTAGGGTTTGGGGTTTAGGGCTTAGGGTTTGGTACCTATAATAGGAGTTTAGGGAATCCCAAAGGGTTAAGGGTCACATGTCCAAGCTAAGTCCCAATGAGTTACGTAAACTTACTGGGGCTTAGTAGGGAATAAGGGATATAGGGATTGTAGTCCCTCATTCCCTACTACTAATCTCCAAAAAGCAATACTTTACGCAAGTGGCTTTGCTCCCAGGCCTGTAATGGGGACCAAGTATTCGAACCTGAGTTATGATACGGTACAAGTACGCCCGGAGTGGGAGCTCCCCATCTGCCTATGCAATTGCAGCAAGACCTAGCGTGTGCGGGCTTCGAGTTACGGTGTCTGCACACATGAGTTATATAGTCTACACTCCTAGAATCCTCCTTAGCAACCCCTAGAATACTCCCCTATATAACCCCCTTAAGGAGTTCAGACTATAGCTCACATTTGCTTCAAATCTAATTTGAATTTGGGGGCATGCTTAGCTCCATCTTGCCTGAACAGGTTGGGGGGCTTATCCTTGGATTTTCCTTTATCGGCTACTCCTACGATTAAACTAGAGCTTCCAAAAGAGGGGTGGCTTTTCAGGTCCCCGTTAAGGCTGATCAATAGGCGGGGACCCCTGTATGCCCAAATAACTCATTCATACTGCTATGACCTTGCAACAAACAGTCCCCTTAATTATGCCCTGTAGACTTTGCACCACCTCAGATTCACAAATGGCATGTGCAGACTGTTCCTGAATGGGGGACAGGACGGTCTTGATAAGAGATGCTCGAAAAGCTTGACCTTCAAGGCGTCTGTAGAAAGTCTTGTGAATACACACCTTGGAATCCCCATGTTAGGTGATTCCCTCTTTAGAGTATCAGTCAACAGGAGCTGTAAAGGCCCCTTAAAGACCCCTTCAAGGACAGTCACTGTAACAAGGACAGTCACTGCAAGGAGGCATGTCCAACCAATACGCTATTTTAATATACTATAATAAGCTATAATATACTAGAGTATACTATGATATACTGTAATATACTATAATGAACTATAATATACTATAATATAATAGAATGTACTATAGTATACTAAAAT